CATCCCCGTCGGGCCCGGCCGGGGAGGGACAGGGACACCCACCGACCCACACCCCGCCCTGGGGCCTGGCCTTGGGGTGAAGACCGAGCAGGGCCGGGAGCGCCCGCACCGTTCCCGGGCTTGGGCTGGTGCTGTCTCACGGAGGGAAGAGCTGCTCTCGGGCGGCTCCTAGGGCTTGCCGGGATTTGCTGAATGCGGTGGCGTTCGCAGCAGCAGAGTAACAAACGCCACGCTCCTGGCAAGGCTGGGGCCTGAGAGCATCGTGCCCGTTTTGAGAACGGAGTCAGGGTGGAGAGCGTTCGGTGTGAGTTTATTTCTACCTGGACAGGCTTTTTCCCCACGTTATACAGTAGGATTTCTGCCGTGGAGGGTTTGTGCTTTGTCCAGGAGTGGCTGGAGCCTTGTCAGGCTGGAGTGATGGTCTGTTGGGGCGTGGGGGCCTGCCAGGAGCACTGCTTTGGTGCAGAGCTGAACACAGGCAAGCCCGGATCCTGGGGCTGCTCGTGTGACTTCACAAGTTGTCATAATAAAATCGGTAAGATTGATTTTGTGGAAGTCTGGGTGAACTAAGAAATTATGGTAGAAAAGCTTTAATAAAAGAATGACCGTGCAACCCAGATCTCAAAAAGACGTGTCTTTTCAGAAATGTTAAAGCCTCGAGAGAGTAGAAGATAGATTTGTTAGCAGGCTGCATCCGTGATGAATTTGTTGTAGTGTGAGAAGTGCAGTCGTTGTGCATTTCCATGTTTAATAATTGATTTGTTTTCCTCTTCAAGAGGAGGACCCATTTCTTGCTGCCGTTGTTTTAATTGACAAAATTAGTTTGTGACAGCAGACAGATACAAAGCGTTTTCTGAAATGTGGGTATATCTGACCAGCGTAACTACAAGAGCAGAATAAATTTAGATACAAATGGAAAACAGCATGTTAAAAGCTGTTGTTCAAGCTGAAAAATGAAATTCTGGCAACTGCAAAAGCTCAACACCCAGTTGACCTTTTGCCATTCACTAGGCAGAGTAGCTTACTCTATTCTGACTTAAGAAACCTTCTGACTTACGTTATTGAAGATCAAAATCTGTCTGAGATGGACTGAGATTTCAGATACCCAAAAATGTCTAGAGTCTTCCCTGACTTCACCTGTCTGTTGCCAGACACAAAGCCTTGTTAAATCGTGCGGCAGAGTTGCAGGCTGCTGTCAGCACGCTGTCTAGACAAATGCGTGCCAGGACGTGTGACGTGACTGTCTTGTTCATCAGGTGGACTCTCACTACTGCCCCAGCTGCCTGGAAAACATGCCTTCAGCTGAAGCCAAGCTGAAAAAGAATAGGTAAGGTTGCTTTGGCTTTTTTTCATCAAGACTCACTATTTTAAACAGTTCCTTCCTTAATCAACACCAAACTGTGTGTATCTGAAACTCTCTTCAAAAATTGCATTGCTTCTTGTTACCTTTTAGTCTCTTTTGGGAAATAAATGTCGTTCCATGATGTATCACGTGCTCTTCATGTTTTAGTTTGTTTGATGACCTGCTTTCATAATGCAAAGGATTTTTTAGTATCACCCAGTTTTTCTCACTGTTGCCATTCTTATGTTAGCTCTGAACCCCTCCTGTTCCCACTGGTGGCTGTGTTGCCCTTTTTCCCTAATGCTGCTGCATAAGATGAAAATCTGTTGGTTTCATCTTGATTTGCTGGTTGAGAGTGTTTTCCTCGGCATGGGACCCTGGTCAGAGCGCTGTCTTACCAGCCTTCCTCTTCTCAGGTGTGCTAACTGCTTTGACTGCCCCTGCTGCATGCACACCCTTTCCACCCGGGCCACGAGCATTCCCGCTCCGCTCCCTGACGACCCAGCCAAGACCACCATGAAGAAAGCCTATTACTTGGCCTGTGGGTTTTGCCGCTGGACTTCCCGGGATGTGGGCATGGCAGACAAGTCTGTCGGTAAGTGACAGTCCAAGACAGAAAACTGAGTCACAGCAGGAGCTCGATACGTGCTTTGAAGGTGACAGATAATCAGATTAGTTTCTGGCCATATGATAGACGTAATATCTGTCTAGGTTTTGAGTCACAGCTGGAGATTCACAGGAAAATGGTTTGTTGCTGAAGTTTCCTCTGAACAGCTGAGATGAGTTAGTGGAACGTGTGACCCACTTCCATGCTCGTAATACCTGACTAGTGAGAAAGCTGTCAAACGAGGGGCTTTTGTAGTGGGTGCGCTCTTCCCACCATCGAGGTCTTGTTTGTGTACCTTCAGAGACTCTGAAGCCGCTCAGTCTGACAGCATAAACATCTAATTTATTTTCTGTCACTCATGTTCACTTAGGCTTATGCCAGAGTTGCTAGTCAGTGATTGTACTTGGTTCTTCTCTTCACAACAGCACTGGATCAAAGCTTTCATCTGTTTCTTGGTGCGTAAGACACGCAGAAAATACCTGTTTGGCTCCAGAAATGGGGCTGAGTAGACCAAGCACATCCTCTGACTTCCAGTGCTGGTGTGACTGAAGGCTGGGAGCTGCTAAAGTGACTCCTGGGTGCGGTCCTGAGTATCTCTCAAACAGCAGTTGTTTAAAAACACAGTATAAAAGCTGGTGAAGCGCCTTCAGCCCTCACCTGCCTGTGAAAAGTTTTCAGAGGGGTGTACTTGTGCAGGCGTGAACTTAAAGTTAATTGCAATGGTAAGTGTGGCAAAAATTGGGAAAGACCTGTTTCATAAGTAAAACCGAGATAGTCGGGTGTTAGATGTGATTTCTGTGTGGCGTCTGGGAATCTTCTCTTGAGGACTTTGTTTTTTCTCTGTCTCATGCAGCTAGTGGTGGCTGGCAGGAGCCGGAGAATCCTCACACGCAGAGGGTGAGTGAAGGGGAAGGGGAAGGCCGTGCTTAGGCTGAGACGCGTCAGCTAGAAAGAGCTGTTAGAGGTGCCAGGCCCTCTCAATCACTTTTTCTGCATCTATATAATCCTTCAGATACCAGTTCCAGTTCCTAATCTGCACCTTGACTGAATTCAATGGAAGGAAGGCCTCTTAAAGGCTCTCCCGTGGATGTCGCAGTATAAAATCTCGTTTTCAGAAGAAACTCATTTGCAAACATCATATCTAATAGTGCTGTTAAAACAACATCAATGAATATGCTGCGTATGTATGTGAAAAAAGTGCTGTTTTCCAACCAAGAGTGTGTCTAGGATCTGGAAAACAGAACTGCACCTTTACTACCCTTCCCTGTCACCAGTCAGGGCTCTGCACTAAATGTGATCAGCCTCGGGGGGAGAAGAGATGCTGTTGCTCCACTAATCCAAATTGCTCGGTTTTGGCCACGTGGCACTACTCTGTCCAGTCAGGGCAAATGCATGAACAAGGTCTCAGTTGCCTAACTGCAAAGTGAGAATCGGACACCGCTCTCCGATAGCCACCGCTCCCCAAGGAGGGTCACCGTGTCACCCGCAGTGTGGGGGTTAAGGCACGCAGGGCTCTTCAATGTATGTCCTCCAAATACAGCTAGTGCTAGGGAGAGAGTGAAACAAGTAGTAGGAACCCTTGTTCACAAACAGATGCTGCACCTGGTCTGGCATTTGCTCCCCATTCACTGGTATCTGTTCCTTTTCATCCCTCCAGATTAACAAACTGGTTGAGTACTACCAGCAGTTGGCTCAGAAAGAGAAGATCGAGCGGGACCGGAAGAAGCTGGTGCGACGCCGAAACTACATGCCCCTGGCCTTTTCGGTGAGCTGGGAGCACGGTGCTGTCAGAGCAGGAAGAGTGATGCACAGCAGGCTTAGCTTGAAAGATCAGCTAGTCGGTAGCACAGTAGGGCTGCTCAGCTTCTTTCTAATGGAGAGCAACGTGAAGAAAACATGCTAGGGCACGTGGGTTTCTTTAGGGACAGGTAGTTTTACACCCGTTATTGTGTGTATGACATTGCCTCTCTCTCTGATAGTCCTCCCTGATAATGCCAGAAGGGTTTACGCTTGCCATGCAAAGGAATTTGTATTCCAGCAGTGAAATGCAGTGCAACTGCAGTCGCGGTGCCAGTGGTAGCTCTTTCTCAGGACAGTCGCGTACCGCAGCTCAGTAACAGTTAGATCAGGATTGTCTGGCACTTCTCTGCCTGAAGTCTCAACTGGAATTAACCTTATGACTTGGTTGTGGCCTGAATGACTGGTTTACTGTAACTGGCAGGTAAATGCTTACTTTGTTTAGCTGGGTGACTGCATATGCTTGCTACTTCTCAATTAACTGTGCTTGCTCTGTGCCCTTGCTTGTGTCTTATGGCTGCATTTTTTGTCTCCGTTGCTACCTGCTGCTATTTTGGGGGCTCTCCACAGCAACACACTATACACGTAGTGGTAAGTCTTTTCACAGTTTCTGCTGGTGTTAAAGCTCTCATGGTAGGGGAGTAACTGATCCTACTCTTCACCTTGCCTCGGGGCCTCTGACTTGGATGTGCCTCGAACAAAGGCACGTGAAACCTAACTAGTTAGAGCATAATGTTTGTTACCAAAAAATACATTTTTTTGTTAGTTTACAAACAGGGCAGTGTCTTTGGGTAAGTAATGTACACTTGAAAAGCAGTCCTTCACCAAGCTTGGCTGAGGCACAGCTGTCTGCCTGCGGCAAATGGCGCTAACATTAATCTTCTGGTCCTTGAAACGTCACCAGGGTAGGCTGATGCTCAGATTTCTCGTTTGGTGAGAATGCAGGTTGTCAGTCCTGCCCAGAAGGAAGATTTCTGCCTCCAAGCACCCTGTGTACAGTTCAGCTGGAGAGAGCTGAGGAGTGGCTCAGCTGTTCCTGCCAACTCGTGGTGCCTGGTGACAGAGACCTGTAGGGAATGAGACTTGTAAGAGGCTGAGCCTTCCAGCTGCTTCTAGTAGCGCTGCAGAGAGTTTCAGACGGATACCTACATCGACTCAGTTCTTTTGGCAGTTGAGAGCTCTTGTTCTGCACTGCTTGACATGCAGTTGCTCTGAAGAGGAGATCAAGGGAAAACGTGTCAGTAGTGCAGGCTGGTGGTTTTAGGAATGAGCAAAAGCTTATTAGCGGTAGCCACATACCTCTGTCTCTCCCTGTCTGCAGCATGGTGGGAATTGTCTTCTCCTTACTAACAGGTTGAGCAGAAAAAAAAGTCATTGAATACCTTTCCCTTTTTGCTTTCCTTTGCTTGTCTCCCTATGCTTGTCATGCAGCTCAAAGGGTGAGTTTGTGGCAGGTCTCTTTGTCCTGGCAGGGAGCAGACCCGAAGCTGACCCTTGCTTTTCCCTTGTAGGACAAATACGGCCTTGGAACCAGGCTTCAACGCCAGAGGCCCGGAGCACCGATCAGCGCCCTCGCTGGACTCTCGTGAGTCTCAGGGTTGGGGTTGCCTTTGTGGAGAGGGTAGGAGATGTAGTCAAGAGAGCAAGAAAGCAACTTCAGCAAGATGATGAACATGTTAGCAGATAGCGGAGGAAGGAGCTTTCTTCTTTGAAGCGTTAGATGTCAAATCCTCGGGCACCTCTGTGCAGCAGCTCTGGATATTTTGCTCTCTCCCAGTCGAAACAAGTGGCTGCTCACGTCCTTGTGTGTTACCGCTGTCTTGCAATCTCAGCTCCTGCTGCCTTCTGTGTTATAAGGCACTTGCTGCTGCTGCTGTCTGTCAGGGTGTGCGTGCTGTATTTTATGACCAAGTTGTTCCTCACTTCCCTTTAGCCTGAAAGAAGGAGAGGACCAGAAGGAGATCAAGATTGAGCCAGCCGATGCAGTGGAAGAAGTGGAACCTCTTCCTGAGGATTACTACACAAGACCGATCAATCTGACAGAAGGTAGCACCTTTGTTTTCTGTCACTGTTTACCCTTACGTTTTATAACAAGGGCAGTGCCTGGAAACTTGTCCTTGGGGTTCTTAATGGCCTGAGATTTTAGTAATTTTTATGCTGGGATTAAAATGGCGGGAAATTTGTGACTTTGTAAATGGTAACCTTGAATTCAGCCTCCGCTTCATGCTGGACATGGAGAGCTCAGAGCCAAATACATCAAGCCTTGTAACTATTGTTTGATTTTCTTGCTGATCTTGATTTCTCTGCATATGAAGTGTGAAGTGTCAACTTCTGGATGGAGAAAAGAGCTGGTGTCCTTTTTCAAATGATAGCAGGAAAGAAGGAAGTAGCTGAGCTGCTGGGGAGTTTGAACCAAACCTGACCTGTTTAAGTAACAATTGTGCGTTACTTTGACATCAGCTTGGTAAAGTTTGTGTACGCTTGCCCGGTATTTACCTGGCTCGTGATTTACTCAGCAAATACTGTAAATTGGTCAGTGGAACTTGGGAGCGAACGGGATAAAACAGCAGGTACGGGAAGCAGTGTGGACTTTCTGCTGAGGTGGCTTTATGTAGGACAGATGTTCTCAGTAGCCCTGCAGGCCTACAAAGTCTCTCAATATTAATTAATTCACAAAAGGTTTATGGAAAGGGGTCAATCATCTTGGTCTCCTTTTCTCTTGAGACTGTCAGCATTGTGAGAGTATGATGCCGGTAAAGAAGACAACTTCCGTGGTTCCCTGCAGTGAGGGAAAGGCTGCCAGGTGGCTCACTGCCTCTTAGACACTGGGAAAAGAAAGGAGCCTGTTTTTTGGGAGAAACCCATGGGAAGTTTGGCTGCTGGGAGCTGCTTGCCTCAGGAACTATGTAGTCCCTAACTCTGTGTGTGAGTCTGAGTTATGCAAACTCCTTGCTGAGAAGCTGTATATTGTACTCGTGCAGCACCCAGCTGTGAGGGTAACAAAGCTGTGAAAACTCGTTTGCCCTTAGGGGGAAAGCTCATTTTCTAGATGATTACAAAATTCTGTTTCCACCCCAGCTGACCTTTAAATAGAGACTGGGGTCCCTTGTTTTTCCTGGGCTGACACGGATGGAGCTCTCGTGTTCCCGTGCCCAGTCAGGGCACCACTTCATACAGCCCTTACCTTCTTCCCATTCAGTCACTGCTAGAGACAGCGATACTTGCCAGTGGCTTCTGAATGATTGGGTGCAAGTGAAATTAAACTCCTCAGAGACCGTGGCGGGCCTGCACACGGTGTGCAGCACCCTTGCTCTTAGGCCAGGTACGGTCTAGGTGGAGTTGGAGTGCCTGAGCGAGGCGTTCACTTGTCGTGCTTTCCGTTGTGCCTGCAGTGACGACCCTGCGGCAGCGCCTGCTGCAGCCCGACTTCCAGCCCATCTGCGCTTCCCAGCTCTACCCGCGCCACAAGCACCTCCTGATCAAGCGTTCGCTGCGCTGCCGGGTGGGTCACGAAGTACAAAACGCCGCTTGTTGTCGGCTCACGGAACGTGGGTTGGGGGAACTGGGCTGTGTGGTTCTTTTTAAAAGAAATGGCTCGGATACTTCTGGTGGTTGAAAGGTCTCAAGCAAATTACTGGTGACAGCACTAGGAGGTGAGGGAGGCTGTTGCATCTCTGCCATGATGGAAGATTGTGAAGGGGTACGCTATGATGAATAAAGGTACAAAGGTGGGTTTGCCTAAGGGTCTGTGTGCTCTGCCTAGCCAAGGAATTGGAGAAGGCTGTCAGTACAGTCAGAATTTAAAAATTGCTGCTATTGCTATAATAGCTATTACTACAGACAAAAATCAAGTCAGCAAACAAAATATTAGTGAGAGGCTGTGCACAATACTGAAGATGTCCTTAGAATGAAGGCAGAAAGAGGGTATTTCAGAAGATAAAAGCAGAGCTGGGAAGTGAAGACAGGCAAGAACTAAATCCAAGTTCTGCTGTTGGCTTACTACGTGGTCTTTAAAAAGCTGTTTGGTTTCTCAGTGAAACAGGGATATTTATCTAGCCCCAGGATAACAGAGCAATATTCTTGTAAGTATTTAAGATGCAGAATGCTTTCCAAACGCAGAATGTTTTCTCAGAAATAAGTAATGTCAGGCTGAGCCTGTATTTGAAGAGTAGCCTATGAGGAGATCGGTCTTGAGTTCCAGCTGTTTGTTGTTTGTTGGTTTTGGTTTTTTTAAATGGATTCTGGAGCATAAGGGCTTACAGTTAATTTGTGCCTTCTTCCTGCTGCAGTCAGTGAGTGTCCCAAGTATTTTTAAGCTGGGTTCCAAACTCACGTTTCTGAGACTGCACTGATATTGCTGGTTGTGGCATTTTCAGAGTATCAGTAACTTGACACAGCGATGGCTACACACACCCCAAGGCAGATTTTGTCTGTGCTGTGCTAGAGGCCAGTAGTGAGTGCCATGGCCAGCGGCATGGTGCTTGCAGCTCTGATTCTTTGGCGTAGGACTGGGCACTGTCTTTGTGTGCTGACTAAAATATCTTTGTCTCTAGAAATGTGAACATAACCTGAGCAAACCAGAATTCAATCCAACATCTATCAAATTCAAGATCCAGCTGGTTGCTGTGTAAGTAAGATAGGGTGATTGGGGAGAACAACTGCCTGTCCATGCTTAGTTAATCCTTCTGTTTTGTACTCTTGATTTGACCTCTTGTACGATTGTGTCATCTCTTAGGGTGGCGTAATCATCTTTTTAATACCTTCAGTTTCTCTGTACTAGGTTTGCTTCCTGATCTTCTAAAAAAAGTTTGCTGAAGATTTCAGCAGTTTGAAAAAGACATTGCAAGCTGTGCCGGCCCCACACGGTAGCAGGAGTTTGTAGGATTAGGCTTGTATAGCAAAGGGCACTTCATTTTTCTGTTTAATGTAAGCTAAAATCTAATAGCATTGAACAAGTTAGCTGCATGTCTGTGAAGACATCCCTCTGCTTCAAGAGGTAGGTAATAGACAGCAACATGGTCCATCGTGGTCCTTTGCTTTGTTCTTGTTGTAGTAACTACATCCCTGAAGTGAGGATCATGTCTATTCCCAACCTGCGCTACATGAAGGTCAGTACTTTTTTCCCAGAAACGTCGGGGTGAGACACAGCCGGGAGGTGTGGATTTGGGATCTTTTGGGAAGATGGCATGATGTGAGTGATGATTGCTGCCTGGGGGCTTGGCTGACTCCCTTTAGAGAGGGCGCAGAGTTCAAGGAAGTGGCTGGAATAACACGCTTGTACTTGTCACTCTGCATGAGTAGGTTACCGTGCAGTGTGACGTCTGGCATCACAAGCACACGCCAGTGCCTGAAGAATAAAAGGTGTGGAGCTGAGAACTTGGCTAGATTCCACACTTGTGTGTTTCTTACATTGAGGAGGAGTGCTGCATGGCGTTGGCACCTTTCTTACGGACTGGGGGTGTTCGCTATCCACCCCTTGAGCGTACCTGATGCAATTTTTGAAGGTGTTGATCAGTTGCAGAAGATGGAGGTGCTAACAGTAATGAATTTTAAAATAATTGCTTCTTGAACTGTGGTTCCTGGCTCTCCCCAGGAAAGCCAAGTCCTCCTGACTCTGACCAATCCAGTGGAAAACATCACACATGTCACGCTGCTGGAGTGCGAGGAGGGAGACCCTGACAACATCAACAGCACTGCCAAGGTACTGTACCCTCCTGCTGCGTGAGCCCGAGCCTCTTGCAAGGCTTTCCCCTCCCATTTACCCTTCCACAGGTCACAGTGTTCGTATGTCCTTCAGCCCCTGCTGCCTGTGGTGCATTTTCCTCCTTGGAGCTTAAATGACTGTCACCAATGTACACATCAGCTCACAAAGTGTTTTCAAATGTGTCGGTTCACTGAGATCCAGAACCCAAGGGAGAAATGCACGATTTCACGGGCAGGGCGGTAACCAGGTGGTGCCGGAGCAGAGGAAAGCCAAGGATCGATCGCTTTCCTCTCAAACCGTGGTAAAGCAGCCCTCAGGAGGGGAGGGCTCTGCTGCTCACGGTGTAGGCAGTGATTGGTGCTGAAAGGCTTCTCTTCATCCTCTGTTTCAGGTGGCAGTTCCTCCCAAGGAGCTTATTCTGGCTGGCAAAGATGCTGCAGCGGAATACGACGAGCTGGCAGAGCCTCAAGACTTCCAGGATGACCCTGAGTGAGTGTTGTCCATCCTGTGGGGATCCTGTCTCTTAAAAACTTGGCACTTCGACCCGTTAACTCGCTCTCAGTCTTCAGCACGTTTTGTTGGGTTTTTTTCAGGTTTTCTTGGGTGGGGTGGTTTTTGGGGGGGGTCAGAGATGAGCAATGCAAGTCTTTCTGCTTGTGGTTTGGACTGTTCAGGAGATGTGTGTTCCCTTTGAGGCAAGCTGTGCTGGTACAGCGGTTGAGTTATCGGTGGAGGTGCTAATTCTCTCTGTGTAATCCTTCCCTTAGAGGGTTTGTGGTAGTGGTGGGAACTCCACAGTAGGGCGTGTGACAGAGTTGCTTCCAGGCTTCAAAGTGGAGGGTGTTTGACGATGTGCCAGCAGAGGGACACCCATGTTCTGATCGTGAGGCAGGAGGGGCTGTGGCCCCCTGCAAAAAGAGCAGCGGGGAGTAAGCTGCGAGCCAGGGCCGCTGTTCTGGCAGGGCATACTCACCCCACAGGCCCTAAACTGAGCACCCCTCTTATGTGGTGTCAGAATCAATCTCTCGGAACAATTGTTTGAGGACTTGGCTGACCCAGCGTTCTTTTCTTTTCTGCCTGGCAGCGTTATTGCCTTCAGAAAAGCCAATAAGGTCGGGGTTTTCATCAAGGTCACCCCACAGAAAGAAGAGGGCGAAGTGACCGTGAGTTTCAAGATGAAGCACGAGTTTAAAAACCTCGCTGCTCCCATCCGGCCCAGCGAGGAGGGCGATCATCCCTCGGAGGTCATCTGGCTCACCCACCACGTGGAGCTCAGCCTCGGCCCCGTGCTCCCGTGAACGCTCCCGACGCTCGCGCCGCGCCGGCTGGCCGCAGGATGGACCGTCCCAGGGAAGGGAGCCCCTGGTGGAACGTTCTGCGAGAAGTCCTTTGTGATGTGTGGCTGTGTGCCACGGGCCCCAGCCGGGCCCCGAGAGGCGGCTGAGGGTGCCGTGGTTTGGGATGGTTTGTTCTCCCTCCTCTTGTCGTAGTGCCCACTGACCACCACCCCGCTCCCCCGCGCCGCCGCAGGCTAGTTTCACTTGCAGCACGTGCTTCGGCACAGAAAGATCTCGCTTTTCCCCAGATTTGCGCTACACCTGGCTGAATTTGGGTTTAACAACAGGAAAAAAAAACCAACATGTTGTTTTCTCTTCATGTCAGCCCACAAACCTGCTGTTACGTACTCGATAGTGAACAGCTTCTTTTTCACACAGCCCCATACCCTGCCCGAACAAGCCTTTTAAGGGGTGGCTGTGTCTGCTGCGTATTGGCAAGCCGTTGGCAGCAGCACGATGCTTTCTTTTGGGTTTCTGCTTCCTCTTAGCATACCTCAGCTGTGGGGGACTGGGACGTACAGCCCTACCACTCTGGCTGCCGCAGCTTGCTTAGCCGAGGTGGTAGGTCTGTTTTCACAAAGGACAGGAGCGGTTTGCCTGCCGGCTCAAAGCGGGGCTGTCGTGCCGGAGGGTTGGGCGATTTGACCGGCCGCCCAGCCCGCTGGGTTGCAGTGGGATGTAGCAGCATGATGCGAGCTGGGAAGCCGGATTCTACTGCAGCTCTCACCGGAGGCAGGGGTGCTGCGGGGAGGCCGCCTGGCCGTCTTCACGTCCCCTCACGTGGGTTCGCAGGGGCAGCGACCAGAGTGTGAAACCCGGAGAGTTTGGGTTCGGTCTGGTATACGTAAAACCACGGAGGCTGTTTGAGCTCATACTCTTTTGCCAGTTA